CTTTTGGGTTAGTTGCCTTAAAAGTTTGTCTGAACTTCTGTCTTTTTACAACAGGTTTGTTCTGACTAACTTTTGTTTTAAACACAGGAACGTTCTGATCAGAACGTGTGTGTTTAATATCATTCAGATGACCAAACTTAAAATGAGAATATAAGGGAGTCTTCTTAATGATAAGTTTATCAACAGGTATTGGATTTAAATCCTTTCCAGAGGAAGATTCATATCCAATTCCTTTCCTGCTGTTTCTGCTAACTCCATAGATCATTGAAGCCATCTTGCTTCCTATCTATGCTTTTAGCCAGAAACTTCTGAAAACTATAGTCATATTCTTCTAAAATATTTTTGCATTTTGACTTAGTTTCAGATTCAGAGTCTTGTTGAGCTTTTTCAAAATTTGTTTTTCATTTTCAAATTGTTTTCTTTGAGCTTAGCAACTTCTGACTTTAACAGACTATTCTCAGATTTAAGATTGCATTTAAGCTTCTTGCATTTGAGCTTAATCTGGTTGTAGTTATTCAGGACTTCTGATAAAACCTTAAGAAGTTCTTCCCTAGAGAGATCAGAAAGTACCTCTTCTGAGTCAGATTCAGAATCAGATTCAGATCCAGATGATCCTTCATCCTGATCTTCACGCCAGCCATCAGTGCCATGTTGGCACATTCTTCTTCTAACTCTGATGAAGATTCAGATGCATCTGAATCATCCCATGTAGCCATCAGAACTTTCTTTTTATGCTCAGGCTTCCTTCTTGGCTTCTCCTTCTGAAGCTTTGGACATTCATTCTTGTAGTGCTTAGGTTCCTTGCATTCATAGCAAACAACCTCCTTCTTTCCAAATCTTTTGTGTCCAGAGGACTCTTTGCGTTGATCTGGCTTCTTGAAGTTCTTGAACTTCCTCTATTTGTGCTTCCAGAGTTTGTTGATCCTTCTGGACAACAAGGACAGTTCATCTTCTTTTCAGAAGAGGACTCTTCAGAACTTTCTTCTAACACCTGCAACGCTTTAACAGATTTGTTAGACTTTAAAGCAATTGACTTACCTTTCTTTTGAGGCTCGTCTTCTTCAAGTTCAATCTCATGGCTCCTTAGAGAGCTGATCAGTTCTTCCAATGTGATCTTGTTCAGATCCTTTGCTAGCTTCAGAGCAGTGACCATAGCCCTCCATCTGATTGGCAAGCTTCTGATGATCTTCTTCACATGATCAACAGTAGAATAGCTTTTGTCCAGCACTTTTAATCCAGCTGTGAGGATCTAGAATCTAGAGAACGTAGCTTTTATAGATTCAAATTCTTCCATTTTAAAGGCTTCATATTTATGGATCAGCGCCAGAGCCTTGGTCTCTTTAACTTGTGAGTTCCCTTCACGAGTCATCTTCAAAGACTCAAACAAATCAAATGTTATTTCTCTGTTGGTAATCTTCTCATACTAAGTATGAGATATAACATTTAATAAGATTGTTCTTGCTTTGTGATGATTTCTGAACTCCTTCTTCTGAGCTTCAGTCATAGATTTTCTATCAATTTTCTTGCTATCCCCATCAGTGGGGTGAACATAACCATCAATGACTAAGTCCCAAAGATCAGCATCATAACCAAGGAATAAACTCTCTATTCTATCCTTCCAATAGTCAAACTTCTCCCCATCAAACATAGGGGGTTTTGTGCTGATTCTATCCCTTTCTTCATATCTGCTGTTGTTGGATGTTGAAACTTCAGCCATAATATCAACCAAGAATATATATCAAGAGTTTTCTCAACTGGATCTTTTCTGTTCACGGTGAAGTGATAGCACACACAGAACCGGAGCTCTGATGCCAACTGAAGGTGAGAAAATACTTAGAAGGGGGGGGGGGGGTTGAATAAGGATTTAGAAAATATTATGGCAATAAAAACACAAAGATTTTTTTCCTGGTTCGTTAAACTCAACTAATCCAGTCCACCCTATCAAGAGTGATTTGCCTTTCTCCACAAGGACTTAATCTACTATAATCAAACTGATTAAAATATCAAACACTAAGAACAACTGTCTTAGTCTTCTCAAGAACTATTGACCACAACTTGGTCTTCTCAAGGAACTTTTACAATCAAATGTAAACTAAACAAGTGTTTGAAATGCTTCTAAGAAAGCTATATCACAACTGTGATTTACACTTAAGTTTAAGAACGTATGAAACTATTCAATAAAGAATAATAATTTGTATGAGAGCTTTGAGAGAGTTTTCAATGAATTTGTCAAAATACGTCCGCTGAAGAAAGTTGTTGAAGGCTTGCTTAAATAGACAAAGAAGTCCAAGACGTTGCAAGCTTGAAGACCGTGTACTGCAAAGTAGTTGTAACCTTTTGTCTTCACATCACTTGACCTTTCCTAGAAGAAGAACGTTCAGAGAAATCCTTTTTGCCTGAGTTCTTGTGTCTAGCATAAAAGAGGAAAGAGTCGTTTGGCATAACCAACAAATATAACTTTGAATAATCTTCTTCAACAAGTTTCTATTTCACAGCAATTAACATCAGAGCCTTGAGTGATCAGAGTATTGATGTTCTTAGAGTTTTCTATATCAGAGTGTAGCAGCATGTGTGCTTCAGCGTGAAATTAATCAGAGCAGAGTTTGGAGATCAGATCCTCAATACTTGCAGCGAACAGTACTATCAGAGTCTTCTAAAAAACAGTGCTTGAAACTCTTCATACAAAGTCTTCAGATTACGCTTCAGATGCTTCTATAGCTTCTGCTTCAGATCCTTCTATAGGCAGCGCTCAGAGTCTTCTAATTAGATACTTCTGACGCTCAAAGCCTTGCGTAGTTTAACGTTCAGATCCATTTTTGCTTTCAGAAGAATATTAAATTTAATATCTGCAGCAAAAATACTTGAACAAATTTAGAGTATATAATTTCTTAATACAAAATTTCATTAGTGTTATCATCAAAACATAGAGATATAACTAAGAACCAATATGTGTTCTAACAATGATAACAACAGAGGTGAGAATAAACTATCTCAACAGAGTTCTCTTATCTTAGGAGTCTTATCGGTAAATAAGGATTTACCTAATTATTAATTTAAGATTTCTCACCTTAATTTATATTCCATTTCACACAACACATGTTATAAAAGAAGGTATAATTGCATTACTAATCACACAAGTCCAGATTTTTCGGGGTTAATAAGTATGTTAATCTCAAGGAATGGCCTTTCGATTATCCGCCTTCCTACTTTTAGGACTGCTACCCTCAAGGAATGGACATTCGAGAGTATCCACTTCTTGCTAATATTAGAGTTGCTACCCTCAAGGAAAATTATATCGACTTATATACCTACCTACGGTGGGAGTGATACCCTCAAGTATGGTATATTGGATAATCCCCCTTTCCTACTTTTGGGTTGCTACCCTCAAGAAATGGACATCCGAACTCATCTACTTTTCCTAATTTTAGGACTACTACCCTCAAAACTCTAACCAACATGTATGGATTAACGCATATGAATTTGCCAACATAAAACAACACCTAAAGCATGTTATAATCATCAAAATAAGCAAAAAGCATGTTACTAATCATCAAAATATGCAACAACCATGTTAATAATTAAATCAAACATGCACAACAATAATCACTCAAAATCACACAACTTCCCCTCTTGCATTAGACCCAAAATTCAGTTTTGATTTCCCAACTATCTAATAGAACCAACCTTATGAAAATCCTGGATTTAGGGAAGAGATGATGAGGTTGATGCTTCACTTTTTCCTCTTTAAAGCTTCAATCCTTGTAAGCATGTAAGAGAGCCTTTTTTTTCCTTCTTCTTTCCTATTTTTCGTGCTCTCTCTCTCTCTCTCTCTCTCTCTCTCTCTCTCTCTCTCTCTCTCAAGAAAAGAAAAGAAAACATGACTACTAAAGACCCATAAATGTTGCAGGAACAAATAATAAGATCATTGGGGAAGTAAAGATAAAAAAAAGATTGGAGATATGAAACTCTCAAGAAAAGGAAGAGAAAGAAGCAACTGACTACACTACCAATTTATATGCAACTTTGAGTATATATCTACAGTCTGAAATCAACATGACATTAAAGACTTGATCTATGGCCCCAAGATCTACCTCTGTTTCACAACAGAACTCGAGTGCACTCAAGTTCTATGGCAGTATCACCATCCTCCTACCCCACAAGCCTAGGGCCCATGAAGGATTTTTGCAATAAAACATTTTAATAAAAAAACACACATTTAATGCGCATATTCCCAAAGCCCCTACGCTCACTCGACACGCCATTGACCTCTTCCCTAGTACGAAAGAATGCACAAAAACCATGTTATGACGAAGAAGAGCGCATTGGAAGTCAAGCTCAATACTTCCGTAATAATCATAACTATGTGCCTGATAGCAAGGACTTGAGGGATAACTATTTCGAACCGTCCTAACGACCCATTAAGGCCAGTCTAATTCAAAGAGTCCAATCCAAAATATCTCTGCTTAGGATTGACGAATAGGTAAACCCTCACTATGGGGTCGTGCACCAAAGTCATGCAACACACATCTCAGCTGTCAAAATTAATCCAAATGTCTCCTACATTCCCTGACACACTCATTGAGATCAGTTTTAACTATCGACCAAATATAAGCGTGATTGTGCACCACAATAAGGTACTATTTTATCCACTCTTACAAGTTACACATCTCTAACTTCGTTGAATTAAAAGTTATAGATAATACTTATTTTGTATACACACCCATTATCCGCCTATCGAATATTCTTATTGCCATTTCGGAGAGCTTCTTCATAAACCTATCATCAATTTTCTGTTACACATCATCATAATGTGTGATTGCGATGACATGACAATAAAGAATTGAATGATAAAACAAAAAATGGAAAATTTTGGATGAATTCTTTTATGATATAAAATTCTTTTAATTTAGAAGATATAAAATACCACAAATGGATGTGATGAGCAACAAGACGCAAACCTTGTCAGTTAGTGCCCCTTTTGAAAATCGCAATTCCCAGTGATGGGATTCTCCTTTGCAGTTTCCTTTGGTTCCGATATTGTGCTCAGAAGAAGCACTCATCAAACCAGATTAATCAACTGCACAACAACATACCACAACAATAACACCCTTGCTTTCAACTTCTCTAAGCATAATAAACCAATTTTCGCATCAAAGCAAGAATCGATTCAATTTGATGAAAGGAAGAGCCCAAACGAGGTAACACTTACAAACCCAGCTTCATATTATTTATATTCAACAGTAACCTAAAACACACTTTAATAATTACTCATCAAACTCAGTTCTTTTAATACTTCTCAGTAATTCCTATGCTAATTTCCTGCTTTGAACTATACTAGTAATAACTATATACAAATAATCTCTCTAGTTCTTCTCACTATTTTTTTACAGGTTAAAGAAGAGATAAAACAATGTTATGAACTCATAAACAGATTGGGAAGAGGAATTGTGTATCTCGGTTCTTCTAGAATGGACTCCACCCATTCGCACTATGTACAAACACAAGATTTAGCTAAAGAGGCAAGTCAATTCTTACAATACCTTCCTGCATCTTTTCTTCCTTACTTGTGTGTTGGTGACTATAGTTTTATATAAACACTCAGTCTTTTATAACCTACTACGACATCCGTCCCTAAGTATAGGACTTTATTGACCTATGAAGCACAAATACAAGACACGATACTGATACTGACACGTCGACATCGATATTAATTTTAAAAAATGAATAAATTGAAGGTAATCGTAAGTGTCAATGTCGTGGTAGTGTTGGTATCCGACACAATGTTGTTGACTAAATCATGTGATAGAAACTGGTACAGAAATACAAATTATTAATGGTACAAACTGAGTTTTATTTAAAGCAGAATATGTTTACAAGAGACACATACTCCCTCCGGTCACTATTATAAGCGAAGATTCTCTTTTCAGGTTCATTGAATAATCGATGAATCTGGTCTACATAGAGATCAGATACAATAGTTATTCAATGAATTTAAAAAGAAAATCTTTGCTTATAATAGTGACAAGAGGGAGTGATTATAAACCCTATAGAGAATGCATAATACACACCTAAACTAATCCAAGAAATTTGAGAGTCTTGGTCTCTCCCTCCAAAAATTAGAGAGCTTGGTCTCTCCCACCCAAAACTAAAACCATTCAATAACTATACCATAATTTGTTTCTCTTTTCCTTTCTCCATTTATTCTAATACAAAAACACACATAACCCATAACTTCCACAAATAACTGACATCAATAAAAATAACTACCCATAACTGGTCATCAATAAAATTAACTACCCATAATAAGAAGTCTATCAATACTCCCCCCAAAATGAAGGAAATTGCTCCATTGATGGTTGCAACCAGTTCTCAAGTGGCTTCAAAATCTGAAAATTTTCTATTTCCTCCACCTTTCTTATCGGTTTCTAAAATCAAATGGAAGCATTGTCCTGTTATGCCCTTCGTGATACACTTCCTCTACGTTCTGTTCCAGATTTGTCGCATAGCAAGCGACCCTTCAAAACCACACTCTAAAGTCTCAATGTATGATTCTGTTCACCTGAATAATACCACCATTTTCCCGGGATCGTACTGCTGTGATACCAGTGATAGGATCTGACAGAAATGGTAACTGCTATATGCAAGAGCAGTTACAGTAAAAATGTCTTAATGCAATAGAAACTGTTACAGACACAGTAGTATTTGTAACGGCCAATTAAAAAGAAATAAGTGACGCAGTAATAACCATCCTCTAGGAATTATAGAGCCTAGGCTTTCCCTTGACCAAACCAAAATAACAACATTCCGATGACTACTAATTGTCATCCTTATTCTATTTAAAACATGATAAGAGGCCTACTAACAGATAGATAATTAAGAAAATTTATATTAGTATCAAATTAAATTTATTGACAATTAAGCAAGTGGAAAAGTTCTTTTCTAGAAGATATGCTTATTTTTTTGTCTTTATACATGTTTCTTCGCAGATAGCAAGTCTTTTGGAATGCACTACATGGTCGGGGGCTGGACCGGGACTAATGGATGCTGTTTCTCAAGGTGCTCTGCTTGCAGGAAAACCAGTTGGTGGATTCAAGATAGGAAGAGAAGCCGGGGAATGGACAACATCCAACTTTCATCCATACTTACCCGCAGAAAACTACCTTACTTGCAGGTGATCCACTACCCTTAATAACTTGTTCTTATTGAATATAGATCCTCTCCTATTTGAAAGTAACAAAAAATGTGGCAGTCTCCCTCCAACGGGATTTAGAGGTATAGATAGGTACAGGTTGATATGATCAACATGGTGTGACCCAACTCGATCGAATCTGTATTTTACTTGAACCCCATCCTAGATCAAGTCAACACGGGTGTGTTTGACCCTATCAGATTAAACCTGAATGTGTTGGGTTCGGGTGACTGGTTTAGAATGTCAAACCTGTCAACTCGACTCGACTCAATGACTTCATTTCCCCCCTCAATTTTAGTATATTTGTTTGTGAGTATGTTATTTATGCTTCAAATATTTAAGCAGCATAAGTGTTTTGATTTAATAACAATTTTTTTAGGAACAAGTTACGTTGTTTCCTTTAGGACCCGTGAATCCGACCCAATCATCATTAGATTGTTTTTTTTAGTAAAAACTATGAGTTGACTGTTGAGTACTCAACTCAAATCAAAGAAACTTTTTTGGATCAAGTATCGGGTTTGGCCAAACCTGACCCAACCGGTCTAACCTCAGGATCATATCTATATTTCATTAAAGTAGGAGATGATCCAAAATAAATATGACTGCTAATAACTTCCTAGACTGTTTTAAGTTCAGGTTTTTCTCTGCAAGGAAGCACGGGATGGTCGATGCTGTAGTGAGGAACAATTCATTTGATAAAACTGCTGTTGTTGCCCTTCCTGGTGGGATTGGTACTCTAGACGAGATGTTCGAGATGCTGGCATTAATTCAACTAGAACGAATTGGATCAAAGCATCCTGTTCCCTTCCTGTTGATGAACTACGATTCGTTTTATTCAAAACTTCTCGACTTTTTAGATGTTTGTGAGAATTGGGGAACTGTCTCTAAAGGAGAGGTTGCATCATTGTGGAAGGTCTGTAATAGCAACTCAGAAGCTTTGGCTTACCTTGCAGATTTCTACCGCATTTCTTTAGATGATACAAGTCAAAAGAACGAAACTAAATTGCATAGTACACATGATTTAATCTCTTGATAAGAATTTTGCTTTTATTTTCCCCTTGAATAATACTCTCAACTAAGCTTGAAAGTTGAAAGGACAATGTACTAAAAATCTAATGAGTGTATCTTCTGGAATTGTTAAAAAAATATGATGTTTTTCCTCTAGCAATTGTGGCTATTGCTGGTCTTTTATCTACCAAGAAAGAGATTCACTTCAATGAGAAAGGTTTACTGTAAATTTAAGTTCAGAGTTGGACAATAATCCAAGTTTAAATGTTGTAACAAAGATTTAGGCTTTAATTTTAATGATTTATTTTACAATCTCAACAAGGCTTCTTATACTTTGGAATATATCTTGAAGACTATGTAGCACCATGAGAAGACGCAAACTTTGTTAGTTGGTGCCTACTTCTAGTAAAGTAACCTTGGTCTGACCCTTTTGAGAATCTCATTTCTCAATGACGGGATTCTCGCTGGCAGCATTGTTTGGTTCTGATCTGATATTGTGCTCAGAAGAACCACTCGTCAAACCAGATTAATCAACTACACAACACATCACAACAATAACACCCTTCGTTTCAACTTCTCAAACCATAATAAAGCCACTCACAGACCAGTTTTTGTATCAAAGCAAGCATCGATTCGATTTGATGACAGGGAAAGCCCAAATCAGGTAACAGTAACAAACCCAGCTCTATATTATTTATATTCAGCAACCTAAAACACATTTATACAATGCTTCATATTGATTACTCATGAAACAGATTTTTTTAGTAGGGCTTGAAATAGTTATGGACTCCTAGGATTCCTATGCTAATTTCCTGCTTTGAAGTCTACTGATTATGAGCTTTGTTTTTGCTTTCATGTTGTATTTTATTTCATGATGCAATTTATCCACCCTTAGAATGATTGGACTCAAACAATGCAGCTCTAGACGCTGGTGCGATCTCTCGGTGCATGAAACATCTCTAAGAAATAAAAAGGAAATCATAGTTGAAAACTTTGGTTATAACCGGCTCAACAATATGCTTCTCTAGAAAAACACTTTTCACAGAAAGTTTTACTGGTGGAATTCTTTTGCACGATTACATCTAATAACTATATGACAATTTCTGTTGTTCTCAGTTTATAAAAATATTATTACAGGTTTAAGAAGTGATCAAACAATGTTATGAACTTGTAAACAGATTAGGAAGAGGAATTGTGTAACTGGGTTCTTCTAGAATGGGCTCCAGTCATTCTTCACATCATGAAGAATTCGGTAAAGAGGCAAGTAAATTCTTACAATAGCTTCCTGCATGTTTTCTTGGTTACTTGTTAGTGAGTAACTAATAGCTCTGGCAACTTTTGAATTTATAAAAACGAAAAAAAGAAAACAAGTGCAGTTAGCATCTATGACTTATATATTAATAATAGAAATGAACATGAATTTGTATATGATGTTTGTTTGTCTAATAATATGGAGCCAAAACCAAAATCATGGATGATGTTTGTTGCACCCCAAATTTGTCCTACCTTTACATGGTTTCTAGTGCCATTTTATTTTGAATGAATAAAATGGCACAATTGGCAAGAGACTGTGTGTAAGGAGTTGTGAGTGTGAGAGGTTGAGAGTTTGAATCCAGATTTTGTTCTTTTAAGTTTGTTTAAGTTTGTTTTTTTTAGTTTTGACTAATTATTTAAGTTGGGCTTTAAAATAGTCATTAGGTTAGAGTTAACCCTAATTTGTTACCTATATAAACATGAGTTACATTTGATAAAAGGAGAAGGAGACAAAAAGAAAAAACGGCGGCCGTTCTAACGATTTATCAGAAGAGGGAAGACTTTTGAAAAAACCTTCAAAGCTTCATCACCGGCGGAATCACCAACAAACCGTAACTCGTAAGATTTCATCAATATCACATTTGGTTTCTGTTATTCTTTTTTTTTTTATAGGAAAAAGAGAAGATTATGGCGAAGCGAGGAAGAAGAAGATGCAAGAATAGCCATGCAAAAGAAAAAGAAAAAGCTTCAAAACTTCATCAATGAGGGAGCCGCCACCGCTACGAATCCCCCTTTTATTTCCAATTTTCTTCCTCCTATTCTTTTTATTTATTTTGTTATTATTATATTATTATTAGTATTTTATTATTGTTGTGGTATATAATTTTCATAATGCAGGTTAATGAAAACTGTTAAAATAAAAATATTTCTAATTGTTAATCTCATTAACTTAGTTTACTTAAGTTAATTAAAATATAAAAAAAATTAAACCATTTTTTCAAGCTAAAATCATAAAATTAAAATTAAACCTTGTTTTTAAAATTAAGACTCATATTTAAAACTTAAAATTAAAAATAATTCTTAAAAATAAATTTAAAAAAAAACATTTTTTAACTTTAAAAAATAAAACTTTTTTTTTTTGCTTTAAAATTTAAAACATTGTTTAAACATTAAAATTAAAACATTTTACAAAAATTAAAACTAACTTTTTTTCATCAAAAACCTTAAAATTAAATTATTTTTTTAATCAAATTAAAACTAATTTTTAAATAAAAACATTAAAATCAAATTAAGTTCTCCTTTTAAATGCAAAAATTAGTTCTTCCCTTTAAATAAAATTCAAAAAAATAAAGTTTTTGATTTAGCCGCTTCATTTTCGTCTAACCCTCATTAGTTTGTTCGTTGCAGCTCCTCAATATTTCATTTGTTCGTACTATTTTTTTGTTTCATGGATGTAATTTATGCGAGGCCATGATCGCAATTATTTTTATTTTTGCATTTGTTTTTGGGATTTGTAATTTACGCGAGTGATCGTCGCGATGCTTCTTTTACCGCTTTCTTTATTTTTCCGCATTTTAATTCGGTCGTACGATATTTTGTCTGTTTGCATGTTTTTACCGTTAGGATTCCTTCCGAAGGATTAGGTCTAGCCGTTTGACCGCCGAGTCAATAACCCTAACGTTTGACCATTTCAAAACCCTAATCGCCTAGGTGTCCCGCCGTGGACGAAAATATCCTTTACCCTAGCATGAGGTCAAAGAGTCGCCGTACTCTGTTTTAGGGTTTCCCGCCGTGTAATATTTAATTTAACCCTAATTTTAATTCAACTTTTCAACATAGAAATAGGAGTTTCAAGACTCCACGTAAGCGTGTCCTTAAGATACGTTTACTCCCATTGAAACCTTGACCACAGTCAAGACGTTTCTAACCTCCCTTTCGAGGGGAACTACAATTACTCTGATTCCATTCCCGTCAGGATATGTAGGCACAAGATGCGACGTCTTGCCGAGTAAACTTAGGACTAACCCTTAGGTCTTTAGGTCACTTTATCCCTTAACTCAATATATATTAAAGCAAATAATAAATAAAAATAAAAAAGCATACGATAAACAAAAGGTTCCTGTAGAGTACTACAGAAGTTTAGGGTGCTAGTACCTTCCCTAAGCTTAACCAACCCCTTACCTAGATTTCTTCCTGCATTGTCTTTACGATGCAAAATTAGGTTTTCCTCTTTTGACCTTTTCCTTCGGATAAATCAAAGAGCGGTTGTGAACTAAAGATGCGATTCAAATTAATTAATAATTTGATATCATATTCTAATCGCAACAGAAAATGGCGACTTCACTGGGGATCCTCCTAATTTTTAAGGGTTACCCCTATTTTGTTTATTGTATGATATTTTATTAATTATTTTTATATATCAGTGTACCTTGTGGGGATACCTGTTATTGTGAGATAAGTCCTAACCCGGACTTGAGTGACCTTATTATAGGAAGGTGAGATATTCGACGAGGCTTGCCGGGAGTGAGTCCCGACCAAGTCGACTCGAGAATCACCGCTCAGTTGAGACCCTTTCGAAAATGGTTCGGTTGATCGAGTGCAGTCGTGAAAACTTTTACTATTTTCAACTGGAGTCTGTGATACTGGGGACCGTAGTACCTTAACACCACCTTGGCCTTATATAGGACGTAGTGCGAGAACTATGTGGGAGTAGTCCTACAATAGTTGCTACGTGATACTACACTCAAAAGAGGTTCTCTCGAGAATATTATCGACCTCCGAGTTAGTTGGAAAATTGATAATATCCGAAGGATGGACTGATGACTTTGGGCACTAATTTAGAACCCTTGTTCTGCAGGTACAATTAACCTATAGTACTTACCTTTTGGGAAGGGTATACCTTAACTCCATTCGATGTCCTCTAACCTAGGACCTTTGTGTGTGTATTTGTGCTTTGCATCCATAAAGCATCATATCATTTCCAGTTTCAAGGAATTCAACAGTCCTTTGCAAACTCAAAAAGGTCCTACATTTTAGAGTAAAAAATAAATAAATTTCTTTCCAACTTTCCTAAAAGGGAATATTTGCAATCGACCGTTGAAATTCTTGGAACCATTACATGGCATTAGCATCACATTTTTGCATTGCATTTTTCCCCCGGTTTCTCATTCTCGGCTCTCTCGTCTTCCAGTGTACCTTTGAGTCGTCAAGCTGATTCCTCGACACAGATATCAGACCAGGGCTAACTATAGACATAAGATGTCAGAGCAAGAGACATACAATGCAGAGATCCGAATGGAAATCGATGAGTTGAAGTCAGACATGACTAAGCTCACTGAAATGCTTCAAATACTAATTGCCAGAGGACAGCCAGCTCAGACTCCTCAACACCCAGTTATCAGACAAAACCAGAAATAGAACAGAAGCCACTTTGATCCTATTCCTATGACTTACACCGAGCTATATCTTGACTTGGTTCGACGAGGACTGATCACCACAAAGGTTTCGCCACCTCCTCCTAGTCCTCCTCCGGTTAGGTTCAGGACCGATCTCCATTGTGCTTTTCATGAGGGTGCCCCAGGCCACAATTTGGAGCATTGTTTTGCACTGAAAGCCAGAGCGCGTGAGTTAATTAGGGATGGAATACTTGATTTTGAAGATAATCCTCCAAATATCCAGAAAAATCCGTTGCCAGCACATCAAAAGTGAAGCTTCGGGCTGACCCCAGAGGATGGCTCACTGATTTAATCATTAGGCTTTTGTTTCTCATTG